CGGGACTCACCTTAGGTACCATCTTTCCAGGTAGCTTTCCTTGACACTTCTGTTTTTCCTTCTACTGTAAGTTCAATGTTCTCATAGCACTGGCAAATGGGTCAGTGACTCTGCCAGTAAAACAGTAACCTCGTGGAATCAAGGAATGTGTCTTTTATCTTTGTATCTTTATATCGAGCATTCGGCTTAGTGCCTGACAGAGTAGGAACTCAAAAAGTGCTGATGCTTCATTGTGCATATGAAGATTGAATGTGTTTTTAAATTCCCTCCTTAATATTGGTAGTCTGAAAATTATTTTTATCTCCTTTTGTAAGTTAATAATTCATAATTCAAGCAATTATGTTTGAAATAAATGCTACTTTAATATTTTAGATTTATCCATAGAAAAACAAGTTGGTGGCTGTTTAAATATAAATGGGCTTAATTTTTCTTGATCACTCTGGTTTTACTTTTTTCTTGGGGAAAATGGAAGGAATCTGGTCTAAGGAATTTGGATTAGGCATAGTTTTCAGATATTGAAGTGATTTATAAATGATATAATTAATTTTTTCATGCATTAAAAGGGGTGGGTAGGTGAAGGGTATGGATTGTGAGGTGGTTCACCAACATTGCCTCAAAATAAAAGGAAATCTGTTTAGAATATGCAACTGTGTTCAGAGACAACTATATTCACAGATGCTTAAAAGTACTCATGTACTTTTGTAATTTTGTGTCTATTTGTGTACTTTAAAATTTCAGCTCACATGGTAAGTTACAGGTGCCCTTGCTTTTCAAATAATAGCTCTGGTTTAGGTTACTAGAAGAATATATTGAGAATCTCCTTTTCTTGGCTTTTTAAAAACTCCTCTTCTTCAGAATGATATCAATAATAGAAAATTCCAATTGTTTTTAAGAATAAGCAGAAAATTGATATGCATAAATAAAAAAGACCTACCCAGTGGCTTTTATATTTTGTTTTTGTTTTTTTAGGTACCGGGAAACAAACTCAGACCTTGCGCTTGCAAGGCAGTTGGTAGAAACACTGAGCTAAATCCCCGTCCCTTCCAGTGGCTTTTTAAAAAGCCAGCCAGAACACTGACACAAAACTAACAGTTTTTGAGTACCATTATCTTGATTATTTTAATGTAATTCAACATGGCAGTTAACTGGGTCCAAAATTTAGTTGTATTTCTATGCTTCTTACTATAAATATTCTGCCCTGGCTGTATTTGAACAGAACTACTGTAGGATAAGCCAAATTCACCTTCAGAGCTAGTGAACTAAAAGAGCAAATATACCTTTCTAAGCACCAAATATGTAATCACACTTGTAAATAGAGTTCATTGTTCTCTTTGCTTGTAATTGTGCAGAAATACAGGACAAATTTAGGGTAGCTTTACTGAAGGTATTAATGTAACAGCTGTCATGAGGATGGTGCTTAAATTCTAAGCGTTTTGTGCTTACAGTGTAAAAATCTCCTTTGTGATATAAAAGCAGAACTTTACCTGGAGTGGTGATATAGTAATGCTTTATCTTTATTTTTTGTTTTGAGATTTTTTTTTTTTTTGTGGTATCGGGGATTGAACTCGGGTCCTTGCGCTTGCACAGCAGATGGCGAAACCACTGAGCTAAATCCCCGGCCCAGTAATGCTTTATCTTTTAAAACCCTGGGACCCGGTGATGCAGCTCAGTGGTGCTGTGCCTGCCTGGCAAGCACAAGGTCCTGAGTTCGATCCCTGTTACTGGGGAAAACAAAAACAAAAGCCCACACTGTATGCTTTGCTTTGCTTTGCTTTTCGAGACAGGGTGTTTCTGTGTAGTCCAGGCTGGCCCCAAACTTTTGACAATCCACCTGCCTCAGCCTTCTGAACACTGGTATTATAGACATGTGCCACCACATTCAGCTGAAACACTATATGCTTTTTCTAAGTGTCTTTATATCTAGAATTTATTTAGTTTTCACAGTAACTCTGTGAAATGGGTGTTCTGATCATATAAATGAGGAAATTTCGGCACAGAAAAGTTAACCAGTTGTCAAAAGTCTACAGCATTGTTTTATGATAGATTATTGTTATTTCAGTAGCTAACATTTTCTGAGTGCTGTGCTAGGCATTGTTTTAAGCCTTTTACATTCATTAACTAATAACAGCTAGGACTTGGTAGAGTCAAATTAGGATTTAATTTTGATTATTCCTCTTATCACCGATTAACCTTTGGAAAGCTTTGTAACTGTTTAAGGCATTGGTTTGCTCATTTATAGCATGGAAACAAGGGTAGTAGCTATCTCACAGAGTAATTGTTTGGATTAAATGACATGATGCAAATGATTGTATGTCCGTCGTATAATCAAGGAACTTTAAAGTCAGTTTGCTATAAAAAATAGTTGTAATAGATGCTATAGTTTCCTAGCCTTTTGATAATTTTCTTGGTAAAATCATGGCATGCTTTTTGAGTAGGCATTATACTTGATGCTGTTATACGTACCTAGTTTATAGGAAGACATTCATTATATAACAAGTTTATGCAGTGATACTTCAGTTGTCGAACTCAATTCATTCCAAATTCGTATTCGAACACCGGAAAGTTCAAGAACTGAACATGTTTTTCCCATAAGAAATAATTGAAAACCAAATAATTGGTTCTGAGGCCCAAAAATTACACAAGCATTATATGTTGTCTGGGCGAGAGCGGCCCTTAGATTGGAGCACCCCTTTGTGTGTGCAGAGAGATGTGATGCCCAACTCACTCTTGGCCCATAAAGGTTTTTTTAAGTTGGATTTTTGGTTCAACTATGGAGCAAAGTTACAAATACTGAGCAGATTTTTTTCGAACTTTGCTGTTCAAGTAGTGGAAAGTTTGAACTTGGAGCCGTTTGACAACCAAGGTATCACTGTAGTTCTGTATTGTTTCTGTAACCACCTCTTCCCTCTCCACCTCCAAATTACCTTTTAGTTCTCTGTCTTCCACCAGTGGTGAGAAACCAAAGAGGGCTAAGAAGTCATGAAGGGGGTGGGCAGGGATTTAGCTCAGAGGTTCTGCTGCCTGCCTGTCAAGCACAAGGTCCCGAGTTCGATCCCCGGTACCAAAAAAGAAAAGAAGTCATGGAGGGTATCTGAGACATCCATATTCCAAAGTCAAAGGCAAGATACTAGCAGTCCATTACGTTATGTTCATACCAGGAGTGTTTTGGTATGTCAGTTGTTTAGAATTCAGAATGTGTTTACTTGTAGGATGTTTCCTTTTAAATGAGGCACAAGTCTTTTAATCCCCAATGCAATTGACATGCTGGACATTGGAGCTGAAAAACTCATTTTAAAAAAGCCAGAACTCCATAATACTTCAGCATGTTAATAATCAAAATAATTAAACAATAAACTGAATAAATATTAACCTTTAAAAAGAAATTAGAGTAAAAGCTTTCCAGAAATTTAAATGGGGATTTTGTAATATTTTCAAGAGCTTTATAGTTTGGTGTACTGATTTTTTAATATGTTTAACTTCAACTCAAAACTTGACTTTTCCTTGAGTTTGAGTTTAAAAATGGATTGTTCTCATTTTTCTTAATCTTATTTACTCTCTGTAAACTCATTTCCGGATGGGTATGGGAGAATACATGTAAGTGGAATGAAGAAAGTAAGAGAGATTTCCTGTTTAACTGGCTAAAAGCCTTTAGAAGAGAGAGGTGGACAAAGACTATACATATTCATATAAGCACATGGTAGATTTAACAAGCAGTGTGTATCTTTGAGCCTCTGGAGAATAGAAGGGAATACTACAGAAGAGGTACTGGTTGGTTCCTATGTTAAAAGTATATATAGGAGCAATTCACAAGGAATATAACCAAGAACTTGGCATGCTAATTTTATATATAGGGTATTTGAAGTCCAGAGCTAAAATTGTTCACTGTGGCTGGGCTTGGTGGCACAGTTCTGTAGTCCTAGCACTTGGGAGGCTGAAGCAAGAGGATTGCTGTGAGCAAGGCTAGCTTGGGCTACATAGTGAGTTGAAAGGCCAGCATGAACTATGTAGCTAGACCCTGACTCAAAGAACCAAAAATAAGTACGGAAAGAAAGAATGAATGAACAAACGATCAAACGTATTCACTATGTGTGGGTACCTGATTTTGGAAGTATCATTTTGGATATCAGTCATATTTGTTAAATTTAATTTGTATGTAGATTGAAATGAGATTCTTCCTTTAACCCTTCACACAATGCCTGATGCAACTTAGGTGCTTAGTAAATACTGTATTAGTGCCCCTGTTTGAACGAGTTTGATTCTTTTCTCTATTGTGAAGACTGAACAAATTAATAGAAATCTTCCAAAAAATATATTGTAACTTTAGACTTAATATGTCTGTAATGTCACTGTGTTGTGACTTCTATGGCATGCTTAATCTGTTTTCTGATTAAATGACTTCTCTGAACTGGTTCTGAGGGGTATTGTGGAATAGGAAGATACACAAGGTAGATTTTAAAGTGTCAGCTCTTCTGGATGATGAGTGAGGTTTAGAAAAAGTCACTGGGGGTGGGGAATTAGTCTGCCACTGGCTAAAATGGGGCTTTGGAGCTGGAATGAAATCTTGAAGGTGGTTTAGACTAACCTCTCATTTTATGGCTCAAGAGATAAGTATAGAGAAGTGAGTTGTCCGGTGTCATAGCTATAGTGGGGAGGGCAGAAACATCATAGAACTTAAAGCTTTGGCATTTTTACTTTTTGTTTTGAAAAGGAATGGGTAACATGTATATAACATTAATTTGAAAAAAATTTCTTATATTAAATTTTTAATCAAGCTTTTAGACTTGAGTTTCTTTCTTTCTTTCTTTCTTTTTTTTTTTTTTTTGGTACCAGAGATTGAGCTCAGGACCTTGAGCTTGTGAGGCAGGCGGCAGAACCACTGAGCTAAATCACCGGCCCACTTTTGAGTTTCTTTAGGTTAACTGAGCTACAGTGCTACTAGAAATCTCATAAGGAAAATTATTTTAAAAGAAATGTTATTAATTGTATTCTACTATTTCTAGGTTAACTCAGCAAATAAAGAAAACATGGTATTTTGAAATATGATTAAACTCCTGATGCAGCAGCAGAGGCTAAGAATATTAATGGCTCTATGTAGGTAAGTTGAAATTTACCTTTAAAAAAAAGGACCAAGTAAGTCTACAACTTATATTTTTTAAAGTAGAGAATTCAGTATTTTCTTGAATTCAACCATTTTGCTTCCTGACTTGCTGACTCTCCCCCAAAGAATAGGGACAAATGACTTGAATTAAACTAAGACAGTGTTTGCTAATTTAAAATATTCAGCAAACTTATATCAATATTGATCTTCCTAGATAGGAGTTGCCTTTTGTTTATGAATGTACCTTAGCTGCTCTCTTGAGGGAGCATAATAAGACAATTTTTGTTTTTGCTGACTTTTAGGCTCAGAGAGGAGGATATGCTGATGAGAGCACATGGTTTTTCATGGAATGTTTACAATACTAGTGTATATTATTAGGTCTCACATAACTCAGATGTGGTCTCCAAATATTAATGTGGTGGACATAAATTCAAACTGTCTAGTATCTAATCTTTCCCTTTGCCCCTAGGAGTTTGTGGTTCAGGAAGAATGGATGAAAATTCCACATTAAAAAAGTCATTTTCCAGAAGTTGGAAAATGGAGTACAACTGCTTGTGTTCCAGCATTTTAGTCCTTCGTTCATGCTAAACCTATAAACCTATTCTTTAACATTATTGAAGCTTCTTTTTTCTTTTTTTCTTTTTTTTCCTTCATTTATTTTTATTTTATTAACCCTCTTCTTTCTTTGCTTTCTTCCCCAGGTCTGACAATCCATCACTTCAGACTCCTGCATGGCCAACAGTTTTTAATTTCGTTGCTCTCTTACCCTCTGACCCTGGGTCAGTCAAACTGTCTTCCCTCTGGACTGCTGAGCACAGCTAGCAAACTGCATCTTCCGCTGAGCTCTCATTCCAGCTGACTTAGTCCTGCTTGCTTTTCTTGCATAGCTCCTTGATAAATAATCCTACCAGTTTCCTCAAAACCCTCATTCTGCAAGTCTTGCCTTCTCTTTTACCTAGGAAATTTATTTAGGACCATAGAAGTTACCTACTTCAGCTTGTCTCTGTACTATACCCATCCTTACTTCTTTCCTCTTTTCCTCAGAGCATGAGGCATTCCTCCAGCTCTGGGTAGACCTCTCAGTCAGGGCCTTGGAACTCATCTTTAGTTTTCTCCTCCACCTTAATCCATCTCTTAACTCTTCTCTTTCCTTTGTTTTTTTCCCATATTTCTAACCTTTCCTGACCTATTAATGATAAGCCTGGTTAAATTTATATAATCTTAAAACAGTAAATAACTCAAACAACATACTTTCTTTTGAACTTATATCTATCCAAACTCTAGCACTCAACTTATTTTCTCGGTCAGTTTTTGAAAGAACAGTTTCCATCTTCTGAAGACATCTTCCTCACCTTCCAGGTGCTTGTTGCAGTTTGGCATCCATCTCTCCTGGTCCACCTGGATGGTGCCCTCCTTATTGATGTTCTCTTTAGTTTGTACTGTTCTGATCTCTTTTTTTCTCCTTCATTGGCTTCTGTCTACTCCTGTACTTGAGCTCATTTGTATTCCCCCAGAATTTCAGTCCCAGACCTGTCTTCATAGTGTCCTTGAGCAGTGCCTTTTCTTTCATAGGTTCAGATATTGTATGTGACCAGCTGTGGTGGCGCACGCCTGTAATCTCAGCACAAATGGCAACTTTGTGAGATTCTTAGTGTTGGGTTATTTTTTGTTTTTTTTTAAGATGTGAAATTTTAAAAAGATGTAGCTTGGCTGGGGATTTAGCTCAGTGGTGCTGAACCTGCCACACAAGTGCATGGTCCCGAGTTTGATCCCTGGTACCCATAAAACAAACAAACAAAAAATAAAAATAAAAAGATGTAGCGTAGTACAGAGGCCCTGAGTTCAATCCTTAAGACTACCAAAAAAAAATGAACTACTATTTTTATCTTTTCCATCAAACTCATACTTGTATACTTAACTCTTCTTTGCTTGTCTCCACCTGATGGGTTGTTAGGAATCTTAGTTTAGCTTATCTAAAACTAAGCAAATCATCATCACTTCCACTTGAAGGCTACCAGTATCTCAGGTCAATGAACTAGCATCCTTCATTTGCCACACCAGAAACTGCCTCTTGCTTCCATTATGTCAAGCCACCCACTTGATGCTGCTTTTTTCTTTTAAATATCTCTTAAATTCATCCCTTTTTCATTTCTACTATTGCTTCTCTGGGGTTTGACTTTATCATATTTCTTTTTTCTTTTTTTTTTCTTTTTGCTAGTTTCTAACTGATTTCCTCTTCTCTGAGCTAAATTCCTTTATTAAATATATCCCATAGGTAGATGAATTTTAAATGTACATCTGACCACCTCATTTTCCTACTTAAAATACATCACTGGCTTCCCATATATAAGATACAGTCCCTTCTTCTCGGCATGGCATATATTGCTTTTATGTCACATATTAGATGTTTCATTAATTATTTTACTGAACTGAACATTCAGTGTTGATAGAGTCCCCACATAGGTCTCTCCACACCCGTACATCCCTGCCAACCACCCACATGGGAAGTTCTGCCATAACAGGTCATCTGTGAAGGTAGCAAGTAGAAACATGATTTTTCTGCTTTTTTTCCTGCCTGTGAACCCAGGGCCTTTGCACTGAGCTATATCCCTAGCCCTTTTTAAAAATTTATTTATTTATTTATTTTTTGAGACCAAGTCTAAATAAGTCACTAGGTTGCTCAAGCTGGGCCCAAATTTGAGATTTTCCTGTCTCACCTTCCCAGAGTGTTGGGCTTATAGATGACACCATTCCTGGCTTAAACATTGCTGTTTAAAAAAATTAAACATTTATAGAACATGTGTTATATTGAGCAGTATGTTCAGTCCACTGAAGAAGAAAAGGTTCCTGTCTTCTGTGAGATCACAGTGAACTGAGTGGTGCACAGATAAATACTACAGTAGAATGTGAATGATTATGATAGGGCTATGCTGTTGCACAGTGGGCACACTAGAGGCAGGCTTGCTTCAAGTTCCTTGAAAGATCCAGTCTCATATTCCTAGCTCGTTGTTCTGTATGCTTTCTGATTGGCTTTTGCCTGTACTGAATTATACCATACCACATACTCCACTTACACTGAACACCTCACTTTCTCTTGAATGCAGTCTCACCTTTCATGACCTTTGTCTTTGCATGTACTTTATTATTTTATCTGTCTTAGGTGTCTGTCTTTATTTTTTGCCTGGCACACTGTTTCTGCTCACCTTTTAAATCCCAGCTCAGTCCCAAACCCTTTTAAATTCCTGCCCTGCCTAACACAAAAAGATAATTGCTCCCTTGTCTGTGCCCTCAGTATTCTGCTCATATTCTAATATAACATTGGTCACAGTACATTATTTGTTTATATCTCTGTCTCTCCCTTTAGATTCATTGCTCTTCATAGGCACAGAAAGCAATTTAATCACCTTTGATACTCAGGTGCCATATTAGAACAAAATAACAAATATCATGAATCATAATTAATTTTGCAATGATGCTTAGCATTTCTTTTGATTTATACACTAATATACTTTCTCCATCTTTTTTTTTTTTTTGGTACCGAGGATCTAACTTGGGTCCTTGCACTTGTGAGGCAGGTGGCAGAACCACTGAGCTAAATTCCCGGCCCTCTCCATCTTTTTTTTGAGACAGGGTCTCACTATGTAGTTCAGGCTGGCTTTGAACTAGCTATGGAGCCCAGGTTGGCCTTGAACTCATGGTGATCCTTCTGCTTCAGCCTCCTGAGTGCTGGGGTTGCAGGGATTTGCCACCACACCTGGCCTTTTTTCCATCTTCTTAATGCTTAAACCTCTACCAGGTATTCTTCACCTTTATTTAGTATAATCCCATTCAACTCACAAAGGGCCTGTAGCACCTACTGTGTGCTAGGTATTGCAGCAGGCAGTAGAAATGCAAGAATGAATAAGATCTGCCCCTGCTGGGAAGGAGCTCACAGTGGAAGGAGAATACAGATAAACAATTTATCACAATTTCTGCAAGTACTAAATGTGATGCTGTAACATTGGGAAACCCAGGGCATTTTGGGTGTTACATGCAAGTTATAACTCACCTAGTAGGTTGGTGTTGGAGAAGATTTCCTAGAGGCACTGCCCTCTTGTTATTTTGAGAAAGGGAAGAAGCAGAAAGAATGTACCTATGGAAGAATGTGAGCAAATAAGGTACTCTGGGGAAACTGCAGCATGTTCTTTCTGACTGGACTAAGGGTGTAGGGCTTGAGCAGGCAAAAGGGAGAGTTTAGACTGGACCTAGAGACAGGGACCAGATTGTGAAGAACCTTACCATGCTCTGAAGAGTTTTAAATTTTATCCTGAAAGTGGTGGAAAACCACTGAAGAATTCTGAGTTTCAGTCAGATATGTTTATAATGTTTTGTAGCCCCTATGCATCCTCCTGTTCTCCTTTTTCAAATATTGTCACATTCATTCTAGTTCTTGCCTGTTTAGAAGTGAGGCTTTGAATTTTTCCTTTCTTTGTTCATTTGGGATGCTTTTGAGCACTTACTGTCATCCACCTTTTAGTGTTAAACTGTGAGAATGGAAGATTGAGTAGACATGCTATATCATTTCTACTGGAGTTCTCTGTGTATAGTACTGGTTTAATTCTGAGTCTCTCTTTCTAATGCACTATTCCAAACTTGATGTTGTGTCTTACTGAACTCTTGAGGTACATAAAAGATTCTAATGAGTAACAAGAATTGAAATAGCAGGCAGGTGTGATGGTGCATACCTATAATCACAGCACTCTAGGAGCTGAGGCAGGATTGCAAGCTTGAGCCCAGCCTGGGCAATTTAGCAACTTAGTGAGATCCTGTCTCAAAATAAAAAATAAAACAAGAAAGGGGGCTAAGAATGCAGCTCAGTGCAAAGGCCCTGGGTTCAATCCTCAGTACAAAAAAAAGAAAGAAAAACTAAAACCTGTCAAGCTAGAAGTCTAGCATCTTTTTGGCAATCTCTTTGTTAAAGAAGAACATGAAATTCTTAATAAGCCATAAAGAATTAATTTCATGATTAATTCTTTATTTTTTTAAATTTTATTTTATTTTTTTTGGTACCGGGGATTGAACTCAGGACCTTGCGCTTGTAAGGCAGGTGCCGGAACCACTGAGCTAAATCCCCGGCCCTATGATTAACTCTTAATAACCATAAATTACCTAGTATTATATATGGGACTCTAAATTGATTTTTAAGATAATTTCAGAATAGGCAGACCATTGTAAAGTAACTGGAAATTTGAGATTTCTGCTTCACAAAATTTATCTTTTTTGTTAACTGAGTAAAATTGACCACTACCTATATGTTTAGCTTCAGCCAGTATACCTTGTTGGGCTTACTTTTCTGCATTAAAACACAGTGCTTGATAGATTATTTCTGAAGTCTTTTTATTTTATGGTTTCTAATAATTTTCTCTAAATTATTTTGCATGCAGTGCTCACATGGTCTTCTAAAGAAGCCATGGGTAGCTGTTGCAGCTGTCCAGATAAAGACACTGTCCCAGATAACCATCGGAACAAGTTTAAGGTAAGTAAAACCAGTTTAGCTATACAGCTCACTTCCTGCTTTATGTGCCTCTTTCACTTCATTTCATATATCTTATCTCTTTACTTTATCACCAGGCTCTTCTGTTTCCTTTTTTTCCCACTCTGTCTTTTCCTATTTGAATAAATAACTTTTTCTTACTGGCAGTATGGAATTATATTAGTCCATTTTTCGTTCCTTTAATGAGATACTTGAGGCTTGTGAGCTTATAAAGAAAATTAATATATTTAGCTTACAATTTGGGAATCTGAAAGTTTAAGCAACACAGCACTGGCTCTGACAAAGACCCCTGTGACTGTGTCACCTCATGCCCAATATCATCACTGTGGTCGATACCATCAATGTAATGGTTGTACATGTAGGAAAGGAAGATCACGTTGGAAGACAGGAAACCAGAGACTTACTATGGGCGAATTGGGGTCCCACAAGAACTACATTAATCCCTTCTGAAGGTGCACCCCAATAACCTAAGGACCACCTCAACATTCCCATATGATTTCTCTAAAAATAGGATTAAAACAAGGAACATTGACATGCCAAGGACCAAGCCTTCAAAACATGACTTTCTGTTTGGTCCTTTATATCCAATTAACTATGGAGTTCTGGCAATATTTTCCTTAAAATGTCTTTTTTTTGGTAGAAGGGAAGGGTTTTATTTGGCTTACAGTTTGTAGAGGTTTCAGTCCATAATGACCTGGCTCCAAAGCAGGGATGGCAAACAGGCACTGTAGACGAAAAACAACATGGTGCCCACAGGGTAGAAAAGGCAGCAAGGGAAACAGTTCACAGTGGCAGAAGAAAGCAAAAAGCAACAAGCAAGATGTCATTTTTCATGTGCCTTTCCATGCTCATCATCACCTGTGTTAATCAGCTTTCTGTTTGTTACTCAAACATACCTGGGATAAACCAACTTGTGACTCAGTTTTAGAGGTTTCAGTCCATGATTTTCTTTTTTTTTTTTTTGTACTGGGGATCAAACTCAGGACCTTGTGCTTGCCAGGCAGGCGGCAGAACCACTGAGCTAAATCCTCTGCCCAATCCATGAATTATTGACCCAATTGCTTTGGGACTGTGGTGAGATAAGATAGCACATTGTAATGGAAGTGCATGGTGGAGCAAAAGAGGATTAGGAAAGGACCGGGGTCCCACTGGCTACTTCATGGGCACACCCTTGATGACCAGAAGACCTCCCGCTGGTTCCACCACCTCTGTAGTGCCACAGGCTGAGAATTGAGACTTTAACACATAGCCTTTGGGAGAACACTTAAGATCCAAACTATGGCAATACATTTCACTCCTTACTTTCATGGATGCCTGCATGATTTCTTAACTGTACTCTACTTCCAGTCATCCTGTCACCCATGTTGTGCTTGCATTAAATTAATTAGTCTTTTATTGTTCACTAACCTGTTTGCTAAAATCCCTGTGGTGTTGTGGGCTAAATGTTCCCACAGCTATTTAGTGTTTCTTGCAACCTGACCTCAGTCTCCTGTAAGCCTTAGCCTCTGGATTGCACAAACCTAGTGTAAGTCACACCCCTGTTACTTCATAGCTTTGTAACCTTCAGCAGGTTACATTATCACCAAATGTTAATTCCTTTTTTGTACAAAGGACACCTTCAGTGTAGGATTGCTATGAGAAAAATACATGGAAAGCACTTTGCCCTGGGAATGTTTGTCTAAGTCTTATCTATTAGTCTTTGGGCATTTTCTGAAGCTCAGCAGTGCAAGACTATTTGTTTTGTGAACTTTGTGCTAGTCTTATTTTGGTCTCCTTGAAAGAAACCTTCTATGGAAAAAAAAAAAAAAAGAAACCTTCTGTGTTCTATTTTAGCATCGTATCTTCATGTGGTAGCATGCATTTCCTGAGCCAACAGATTTTCCTTATTTGATTTCCCATCTAAGTTTATTTATACCCCAGGTCCAGCTGAAGTTCTTACTCCTCTCATATAAAGTTGTCTCCAGTGTCCTTAGGCAGCAGTAACTGTTTTCTACAGCCTGTATTGCATTTGTCAATTAATCATACACAGTGTTGTGGTGTCAGCTTTGTTTTTGTATCTTGTTTTTCCAGCAGGAATGTAAATTCCTTACAGATAAAACTGTGCACATTATTTAATGAACTAAAAATTGAACAAATGACTAAGCCAAGCAGCAGCAATGGTTTTCCTAATGAGTTGGTGAAGTATGTGTTTGGCTGTCACCTTTTTAGGTCATTAATGTGGATGACGATGGGAATGAGTTAGGTTCCGGCATAATGGAGCTTACAGACACAGAACTGATTTTATATACTCGCAAACGTGACTCAGTAAAATGGCACTACCTCTGCCTGCGGCGCTATGGCTATGACTCAAACCTCTTCTCTTTTGAAAGTGGTCGAAGGTGTCAAACTGGACAAGGTAGGTAAAGCCTTTGTTTTCTACAAATATGACCACATTTCAAATAACATTCTTTCAGTTATTCTATATGTAGTGTTTAACTTAGTATCGTTTCTTCTGAAAGAAAATTCCCCAAATAGGTTAAGAAAAGCTATAATAAGAGATGTATTTATTTATCAAGGGTTTATTAAGCACATTTTCTACATCAAAATTTTTGACTTGTGTTAAATTTAGGATTTTCAGTAAATGATTGTTCTGCTAAATTGACTGTCTTTATTGGTTTACCTGGGGGAAAGAACTAAATTTTAGAATCTCATAGAACACAGCTTGGTTTGCTTTGTTTTTGTTTTGTTTTGCTATTTACTATTTGAATGGCCTTGGCAAGTTACATGTCCTCTGTTAAATTTTACATTCTTTTTTTTTTTTTTTTTGGTACTGGGGATCGAACTCAGGTCCTTGTGCTTGCACAGCAGGCGGCGAAACCACTGAGCTAAATCCCCGGCCCACTCCTCCTTTAAATTTTATAAAAAGATAATGGTAATACCTATAATACCTGTCTTATAGTATTGTAATACTAAAATAAGACAGTTGTGAACTCTTTAGCAAGAGTTCCCTTTAAATGGTAAATGAAGCCAGGCGCTGTGGCGCATGTCTATAATCCCAGCACTCAGGAGTCTGGGGCGGGAGGATCGTGAATTCAAGGCCTTCCTGGGCTACATAGTGAGTTCAAGGCCAGCCTGAACTACAGAGGGAGATCCTGTCTCTAAATAAATAAATAGATGATTGCCTTGTTAATGGCTAAGAGGCTCCCCCTGCTGTTATAAACAGAATAAACTGTGCAAATTTTGCTTTGTTTTATGCTATCTCCTTTAGACAAATGAAAATTATTCTGTAAACTTTAGAGTTTATGTTTTAAAACAGGTATTATCATTAATTTATCAGAAATTTATTTAAAAGACCTTTCTTACTGTTGGCACAAGGAATGTTTACTTGACAGTTTTGTTCTTTGACACATATTCTTAGAGCTGTTTTAAAGGTGTGGTTGCCACTTTTCTCTCTTGGTTTGTATTTGTAGGAATCTTTGCCTTTAAATGTGCCCGTGCAGAAGAATTATTTAACATGTTGCAGGAGATTATGCAAAACAATAGTATAAATGTAGTGGAAGAGCCAGTGGTAGAAAGAAATAATCATCAGACAGAATTAGAGGTCCCCAGAACACCTCGAACACCTACAAGTAAGTAGCAGTTTCCCTTATAACTTGAATATCATCAAACCTTCTAAGCTGTAAATTATGAATATTTATAACATACTTGAAATCACCATTGATTTAACAGAAGTATAATGGTCATCAGTTTTTTAAAACAATTCTTATCTGTAAGCATTTTAAATGAAAACATTTATTATTCCATATCATTTAAGACATGGGTAGAGGTCTTATTTTAGTATAATTTCTATATGGCTTGTCCAAAACACCTTTCTTAATCTTCAGACTAGATTCTCATTCACTTTTATTCTCTCTGCTCTACCCTTACCCATATGCTGGCTTCTTAAACCAATAAACAAAAACTCAGCTCCAGGATTTGCTGGTCAGAGCTTACCTAATGGATATCCCCGATACCCCTCATTTGGAGATGCTTCATCTCATCCTTCAAGCAGACATCCTTCCGTGGGAAGTGCTCGCTTACCTTCAGTTGGTGAAGAATCTACACATCCTTTGCTTGTGGCTGAGGAACAAGTAAGCTTGTGCTACCATGTAATAGCAATAATGAATGTTTTGCAGTTAAAGTGTTACTGTGTTCTTGATTTTATTCAGTTTGAATTTTAACTTTTCACTATAAATTACTTTTGTAGTGAGCAGTCGAGTAAATAGTATATATTTACTGGCATTATTCTCAAATATGCACAGGGAAACACCATTATAGTAGTAGTTTGTGGGTTCCTAGGAGAGGTGCACCTATAGATTAAGAAAGATATGGCTAATGGTCAATTGCCATTATAATAACCTCCACTATGCTAAAATTTATGCTGCTTTTGTGTTTTAGTCTTGGAAATCAGTGAACAACTAGAAGGGTAGATTTTGTTGTTAAGGTTTTTATGATTTAGTATTCCTGATTGTTCTAGTTTTCACTTGTGAAATGAAGTATCTGGTTGAACATTATGTAGTAGTAAAACTAACAAGTTCTTAATTACATTTTACCCAATTTTTCTTTTCATTTTTGAATCTTTAAAATTTTATGTATAGTCTTTCAAATATTTTCGTATTGTCTCTCCAAAATACCATAGAGCTTTTCTAAGTTATGATAATTTTTTACTGGATGTTATTTATTTTATATCTGTACATTTTACAAAACACTTCTTTACCCTTTTGATTTTTTTGAGACAGGGTCTTGCTGCTGTACAGTTCAGGCTGGCTTTGAACTCTCAGCAATCTTCTAGCATTGGCCCCTTGAGTGCTGGGATCACAGGTGTGCACCATCACACCCAGCTTCATTTTACCAACATTAGGTTTTTCCTTTATGTAATTGGATTATCAGTAAATAGTGATAAATTTGCCATTTCTTCTTCAATACTTGTTTGGGGGGTAACACTGGGGATTGAACCCAGGGCCTTGTACTTACTGGGCAAGATCTCTGTCACTAAGTTATGTCTCCAGCTTTTTTTATTTTTATTTTATTTTGAGACAAGGTCTGGCTAAGTTGCCCAGGCTGGCCTTGAACTTTTGATTCTCCTGCCTCTGCCTCCCAAGCAGCTGAGGCATTTGAAGAATGCCATGTGTTTGCTAGTGTATGTTCAAATATGTGAAGGGAAACTTACTGTTACAGTAGTGTTGAGTTCACAGGAGAGGTGCATCTATAGATTAAGAGAGACATGACTTAATGGTCAATTGCCATTAAAATACCCTCCTACAGATTGCAGGCTTGCACTGTTAGACCTGATATAATTTCTTATGTAATGTTTTGGGTTTTGGGGGGGTTTTTGGGTTTTTTTGGAACTGGGGATCAAACTCAGGACCTTGTGCATGTGAAGCAGTTGGCCACACCACTGAGCTAAATCCCTGGCCCCCTTATATAATGTTTTAAAGCATCAATAAGAATTTATAGAACAACACCAAAATAATTTGTATTGTATTCCTTATTTTTAACAATATTTTTCATGTTTCACCATCAAATGCTGCATGTTATTTTAAAGTAGTTACTCTTTTATCAAATTACAGACATTTTTATATTTCTTCACTTTGCCCCACCTTTTTATTAGTAAAAAAAAGAAGTATAAAAGTTCTGCTTTTTTTTTTTTTTTGGTACCAGGGATCGAACTCGGGTCCTTGTGCTTGCGCAAAAAAAAAGAAGTATAAAAGTTTTGAAGAGTCCATTTAAAGAAAAAGTTAATAAAATTAATTGACATGGTCTCATTTTGTTTTTTAAATGTTATTTTTTGAATTCTCTTTCATTTTAGATACATACCTATGTCAACACTACAGGTGTACAAGAAGAGCAGAAAAACCGCGCAGGTGCGCATGTCCCATTGGAGGCAAGGGTTTCAAATGCTGAGAGCAACACACCAAAAGAAGAACCAAGTAGTATTGAAGACAGAGACCCTCAGATTCTTCTTGAACCCGAAGGAGTCAAATTTGTTTTAGGACCAACTCCTGTTCAGAAGCAATTAATGGAAAAAGAGAAACTGGAGCAACTTGGAAGAGACCAAGTTAGTGGAAGTGGTGCAAATAACACAGAATGGGACACTGGCTATGACAGTGATGAACGCAGAGATGCACCTTCGGTTAACAAACTGGTATATGAAAATATAAATGGGCTATCTATCCCTAGTGCCTCAGGGGTCAGGAGAGGTCGTCTGACATCCACTAGTACCTCAGATACCCAGAATATCAACAACTCAGCTCAGAGAAGAACTGCGTTATTAAACTATGAAAATTTACCATCTTTGCCTCCTGTTTGGGAAGCCCGCAAGCTGAGTAAGGATGAAGATGACAATTTAGGACCAAAGACTCCATCTCTAAATGGCTACCATAATAATCTAGATCCAATGCATAACTATGTAAATACAGAGAATGTAACAGTGCCGGCAAGTGCTCACAAAATAGAATATTCAAGGCGTCGGGACTGTACACCAACAGTCTTTAACTTTGATATCAGACGCCCGAGTTTAGAACACAGGCAACTCAATTATATACAGGTTGACTTGGAAGGTGGCAGTGACTCTGACAATCCTCAGACTCCAAAAACACCTACCACTCCCCTGCCACAAACCCCTACAAGGCGCACAGAGCTGTATGCTGTGATAGACATCGAGAGAACTGCTGCTATGTCCAATTTGCAGAAAGCACTGCCACGAGATGATGGTACATCTAGGAAAACTAGACATAATAGTACTGATCTGCCCATGTGAGCCTGGAAAGCATTATGTTGTTTGCACCTTTGTGAAGTTTTTAAAAATGAAGATGCAAATGCTTCATTTTCATTTCTACACTAACTCCTTTTATAAACTGATAAAAAAAATTTTTTCTGAGTATTTCATGTGCATCTTTAACTAAAGGGAATTATTGTAGAGCAGGTACTCCTTAACACTAATTTCATTATATACTATTCATTATTGTACAGCAGCATTCCCATTTTCACAGTGCCTATTTAAAATGAGAGTTGAAGTGAAAGACATACTGGTTGATTTTTATTCAATATTTTGGACTTATGCATATCTTTCATGTCTGAGTCACAGTTGGCATTTAAAACTTTTTATAAAGCCTCTTGGTAATGTGCATTGGTAACAGATAACTCTAGGCTTTGAAAGTAATATTTGTAGATCAGTGTTCACAGTATGTGGCCTCCAGCATGTAACATGAGGAATCATTTATTTCATTAATTAAAGGCTTTTGACTTGAGCCAAAACATGTGTAAAGGAAATGGAAGTACCACACCTCCTTGTATACCAGTCAGCTCTTTTGCCTTCAGTGTTACTAGAAAGAATCGTATGTTGTGAATATAGTTTGCTGTTGGTGTGTTGAAAGGTAGGCAGGAGACAAGATTTTCTGTTTACTCATCTCATGATGTTATTTGAAGGGTATGTCCAGATGTCTTACTCTGAATTACAGTAGGCTTAAGGATCAGTCTCAGGTCACTTTACCCAAAAACATTTGAAAAACTGAACCATGATCTCTTGAAGTTTCTGTCCTATAGATTATTGACAAGGCATTGTTTTCTGCAGGCATTTTTGGTGTTTGGTTCCCATTTACCTTCGGTTTTTATTTTGGTGTTTGGGATAACTTACTGTGTTGCTTAATGTCTTTTTCAATTTAAAATGTTTGAGTTTGTATATAGTTTTGAAATTGGATTATGTGTTCACTGTTACTTAGTTTGCATTTTTGTCAAATTGTAGTTTTGAAGGTTCATTTGGAACTTGCTGTTATTCTATAACAGGGTTGCCCTTGTCCAGTATTTATTTATATGCTGTTTACTTTTCAAGTTGATAAAAACATTCTTTTGATTTTAAATTTCACTTGTGTCCATAGATGATCTCTTTAGCAGTTGAGGAAAAAAAAAAAGGAAGGTCCTTTTAACATGCAAAGTTCCCTAAAGGTACTGTGTGTTCTCTATGGGCACTCTCCCCAGCACTTTAGCAGGGATTTTCTTCAGCTACACGGCTACAGTTGTACTCTGACCATTCTAGTGTTCCTCAGCTCTGCTGTCCTTTCACTTGTAGCTGGATCTTGATTATCCCTTGATTTCATTGGAATGTTAATATTGTTGCCAGCATAGCAGGTAAAGTGGAAGTCTTGTAGTAATGAGATTGTGTCATAATTTAGGATTTAAAATGAACTGAAGTTTCTATAAATTGATGAGTCCCGATGTCAAAACTCTTAGAAAATCAAGAATATTCCAAATTCCCAAACACTAGAGAATACAAGAAGATAGAGTGAAAAGGTTAGGTAACTTTATAAAATAGTGCTGTTTCTCTAAAAACAAGGAAGTTGGAAGTTATGATCTGGATCTATCAAATGTTTCTAAAGCTAATTTAGCATGAAAAAGTTTCAGTCTTATACAGTTTATTCAATAAATAACCTAATTATAGGACAATGAATGCATTAGCAGAACAATAGAGTGGGACCATTAAAAAAAACTAATTACAGGTGTCTTTATCATTTTCAGTGCTATTGGTTTATTAGCATAGCAAAATTTTCTACTTTTCCTTTTCCCCGCTCTGTGAACTTGGTGCTTACTAAAATGCTCACTGTTCTCTTAAAAAGAGCAGTAGTATAGATGTGCAGTTTCCCTAATACAATTTCTATTTTAAATGTATTGTTCCATTTATCTTTCTTTTAAGTAGTTTGCTAATTGTGCCAAATTTATGTAGTGATTATTGTAATGTGGAATAGGAATTAGGATGCAACCAATGCAAATGGTTTTCTTTGAAACAAGCAGTCACAGCAGAACACTAATCTCCAAATGAAAGGGCTGATACATTTATTTGTTTTGGAGGTTGGATATGTTTTTCCCCTCACCCTTTTCACTTCCAGATTCTAATTAGTTTTTATATTTTTTTAGGTAATTCTAATATAATCAGTAAGTTTATGCTTTAAATACTGTGTGCTTTAAGAATGAAAATGGGACCAATTTGTCTGCTAAGAATTTGATTTTAGGGTACTATAAGAGTATTAGGAAGAGATATTCAGCTGGTGTTTATTCTAGTTGTCTTCTGGGTGTCATCTGTACTCCTATTTTAAAAAATAATTTAGAATACTACTTGCCCTTTGCAGTACTCTAGTAATGGGCATTAAGCTGTCTTGGAAAGAGTGTACCTATTACTAGGTGCATTTTAGCATGAGATATTTTATTGACATATAAATATGGCCATATGTCTCAGATTTTCTGAGGTGAACCTAATTCTAGGTGCCCATTTTTGTTGATAGATCATGTGATCCCATTATTTGGGTTTGCCCCACCCCCCAAATAGAAGCCTCTTTTATCCATATAGATCATAACAGCATTTATCCCAGATCAAGGTTAGAAGCTGATGTGGGTATTACCTGTGTTTTTCTTAGTGTGTTTCATTTCCCTGTTTCATCTTTTTTAAAGAAATGAAAATAATGGTGCCTTCCCTCCCTCCAGAAGATTGGCAAATAGTTCCTTTTATTTACTGCTGCTGTGGAGTGATGAGATATGCACTTTACTCTTGAAGACTCAGTAAAAAAGCTTTTCATTCCCAGTATATCCACAATAGATCACATTTGGGACTTAAGAAAATTTGCCAAGCAATCTTTGTTTTTATAGATATTAATGTTGACCCTCATTTCAATGTTGTGAAAATAAGTCAAACTGGTGTTTATCCTCCCCCTCATCTGTGGCACAGCATATAAAAATGTACCTCAATATTGTTCTATTAAAAATGGGACAGGGGCCTTACGTTTTCATAATTTCCCAACAATGTGCCACCCTGTGTTTGCCTCAAGGGAAAAGTTTTAGCTAGCTAAAAAGTACTTCCCAAATCCCCTGTGCTGTTCCTAACCCATAATGCCCAAGTGTTTTGTGCAATGCGTAGTATGTATGTATACACACACACACACACACACACACATATATATTCTTGAAACAGACATACCATCAGAGACATCGTTCAGAAGTAACTGATATATTGGCATCTCATTCATATTTCTGATATATGAGGTATATGGTACTAATTACCTTTTCCTTGATGTTTGCCAAATTTGAATAAAAGCATTGGTACGAAATTACAGAATGTATAGAAAATGTTTTTGGCTTGAAAAGTTAATGATATTTTATGACATAACACAATGTATTCTGCACAAACCAGCATCATGTCTTTTCTTGTTCTTTACATCTCAATTCCCCATTTCTACTTCCTCTTTTTTTTTTGATATAACAGTTCTTTTGTAGCATCATTACAGTTACAATTCTATGACAATTGGACAGTTATAGCATGGAAACAGACTGATAGTAATAGTACAGTAGTCACCAGTGTGCCACATTTGCATTAGTAAATGCAAAATACACATTTTATAAAGGACAAACTGCTATGTTTTTATTTTCATTACATTGTATAATACTGTAAGATTATTGTATGTCCTAATTTGCATTATAAATGTTTTTTTCCTACATAAAGGCATAAATATAGCAACTTTGTATAAAGGTAGCTTATTAGATTTTTAATTTTTTCTTTTATAAAAATTGTCTAACAGTGGGACTACCATTGCCAAATTGTATATGAAATATGAATCTTACCCCTATGGCTAATTTCTTTTATAAACATTCCGTATTTCTCTAATAAAAGACATAAGTGATACTGTACTATGCATAAATTGTATTTCAATGCTGTTTCATATCAGCATTTTACATTTTGGTTTGCATTTTTGATATTGGCAAAACTTAACCACTGTTAATTAAAATAAAACCTTGTATATGTAACATCATCATTTACCCTCCATCCCTTCCCACTGTTTGTTCTCTATTTCTCCCTATCAGTGCCAACTTCATACATTTTGTAGCATGGCAATAAAATATAACTTTTACATTGAGGCCAAGTGTGGCTTTTTGGAGGAAGTGGAGATGGGAGGATTGCCCTCTAATTGTCCTTTGCATATAATTCTTTTTGCCATATGAGCCATGTCATCAGGCATGAGAGTTATAAATGATGTAAAATGCTTTTAAGGACAAGTGTGTGCTTTTAAGCTTTTTGTCATAACAAATAACTAATTTTTTATCTTTGGAAAACTCAGAGTTCTTGAAATACAATCAAACCTTTATTAACTGGAGTAAAGAATAAGCTAATTAATAATTTGTTCAATAAGGGCTAAGCGACACATTTTTAAAATCTTTATTTATTGTAGAGTATATTAGTATACTTTACTGTCCTAAAAGTTGTAATATGGAAAATACAGCTTAATCTTAGATCATGTAGCATCTTGCAATGCCTTACTGTTGTTATTCTGGCATAAATATTCATGATGAGGTACTCAAGTTGATACTGGAAGCTGAGCTGACTATACACTGACCTTAAGCATTCATGAAAAACTGCTTTGTTGAATAAAATCTGATCAGAGTTCTTAGGGTCACTTTCCCTTTATTGCCAAAAGTAGATTGCAATAAAACCCCAATAAAAGTTTGGTTGGACACACATTTAAAGTTCTACTCTATTTATATTTTATGCATTACTTGAAACTTTGATAAGCTTTATTATTGCTTCCATTTTCAAAGTGAACATATGCTGTGTTAAAGATAATGTGTTTATTTGACAGACTTTCCTATAATTTTCTGTGTGTGATTATTAAAATTAGTGGTTCTCAGCTCTGAGATTCCAGAGTGAGGTTACAAAGTAAGGTGAGTACAGCTCCACGATGGAGGCCATGTAAGCAATGTAGAGAACAGACAAGTCCACAAATTATTGGGTGCTTACTATGTACCAGACACTAGGGAACCCCTTGAATTGGTTTTACTGTGGCAGCAGATTGCACTTTGGAAAACCAGCACATTTGTTCTCAGAATTTAAAACTTTGGATTATTTATGTATTTTTCCTTTGAAACTTTTGAGGACAATAGTGATTCACATGTTCTTTATTTTATGAACTAGGCCTTGCACTAGTCATGAAGATAGCAGTCCTTGTCCTCAGAAGAATTTATAATTAGGCCAGCCCTTCTCTTTTTTGGTACCAGGGATTGAACTCAGGACCTTTCACTTTTGAGGCAGGCAGCGGAACCACTGAGCTAAATCCCCAGCCCTAGACCATCCCTTCTAATGGGAGCAGTGCTCTTATTGTTTCCTAGAGAATTAAGACCTGAGACATATACTGCATATCAATGGAGTAACTTCAGTCTGATATCTCTAGAATGGTACTAGCTATAATATATGCCTTAAGAGAACTGTGATAATTGTCACTCCAGTTCTTAATATAAGTGGTGTGATAAGGGTACACACAAAGGATACACACAACACAGGGAGTGAGATTTTCAAGCAGAGCTTGGAGGAGGTAATTCCTGAGGTGTTTGGATAAGAAATTTTATAGGTTACAAGGGAAAAGGAGGATGTCTTTTTTTTTTTTTTTTTTTTTTTTTTTTAGGAGGAAGTCATAAGGAGAAGCACTTGCATGTGAAAAGGCACAGAGGCATAGAACACTGTCATGGTGGCAGGAGGTCCCATCAGGTGAGGGACAGAAAAGAAACTAGAGAGCAAATAGATGCAGAATGCCAAGAAGTTTTTGTTTCTTCCTTTTAAAAATCTAGATGAGGTGAGAACTTGGAGGATTTTAAACATTAAAAAAAGTTAACTCAGGCATCAACATTAAGGCTACATTAAAAGGCATGAGATTTTAATAAAACAGGAAGATTGGTTAGGAGGCTTTTTTAGAAATGGAGGTAAGACTTGATAAATGCCTAAGAGCATTATTAAATGAATGTTTATTTACTGTTACTCAACCACCCTCAAACTTGGCAGCTCAAAGCCACAGTCATGCTAAGAATTTGCCAGGTTGATACAGATCAGGGTGGGCAGAGCACAGCAGAGATGGCTCATCTCTGTTCTGCCCAAAGTCTGGAAAGCTGACTTCACCAAAGTCACTAGAGCCTCAGCTGGGTCATGTCTGAGTTTGAGTTCTAGTTGAGTTCCAGGGTTTTCTTCCAGGTAGTCGGTCTTTTTTCTTAGGTGGCAGCTTAGGGTATCTAAGAGCTCAAAAGTAGAAATTGCTAGGCTTTTGTTTGTTGGTTGTTTTCATTTTTGTAATGTTCAGGATTGAACTCGGGCTCTGGTAGGCTAGGCAAGTGCTCTACCATTGTGCTACACCTCTGGACTCGGGCTAGGCTTTCTTGAGGCCTAACCTCAGAACTGGCACAATGTCTGTCAATTCTGCTACATTCTATTGAATTATAGACCCTGTCCAGATTTATAGGAAGGGGATTATACAAAGGTATAAACACCAAAAATAGTCTATTCAGGCTGAGCATGATGGTGTTGCACATCTATAGTTGCAGTTACTCACGGGAGTCTGAGATGAGGATTACTTGAGCCCAGGAGTTCAAGACCAGCCTTGGCAACATAGTAACTCTGTTTAAAAAAAAAGCAGTCTATTTGCAGGCTACCACCAGTGAAGAAGGAAGAGTCAACTCTTCTGCCAAGAGGGATGACAGAAATGGAGAAGTCCAGGATCAACCCCAGCTTTTCAGTTTGGGTGACTAAATAGTTGATGATACCACTCCACTGAGATTAAAAACATACTTTGGGGTCATAGGTTTGGAAAGAAAGATGGTGAGTTCCATTGGGATTCCTGTGGGCAATGCACATGGAGGTGTGCAGTAGGTGGTTGGATAGTTTCTAGTTTTCTGTCAGCAATAATTTCCCCAGTAACAAAAGTTTTACAGATGTTATAAATTTATAGGTATCTTTTCTGTGTGTGTGTGTGTGTGTGTGTGTGTGTGTGTGTGTCTGGTACTAAGAATTGAACCAGAGTGCACTGAGAGCCTCACCCTTTTTAAATTTTGACACAGTCTAAGTTGCCAGATTGGCCTCAAACTTGAGATCTTCCTGCCTCAGCCTCCAGAGCAGCTGGGATTACAGAAATACACCACCATACCTGGCTTATCAATGGTAAAGTTTTAAAGATACTTCTTAAGAGTAACCTACTTTATTGTAACATTTCCCACAAGGCTTCACTCAAACTAGCCAGGCCTAGTGTACATAAATAGAATGCTGTGTTCCAAAAGTATTGATCTGAGATAGGTTAGAATTTTTTTTTTTTTTTTTGGGTACCGGGGATCGAACTCAGGACCTTTCACTTGTGGGGCAGGCGCCGGAACCACTGAGCTAAATCCCCAGCCCCAATACTGATTTTTTAATAAGGCCTCTCCGTGTATGTAGAAGCCAGATTGAAGATTTAGGCTCGTTACATCATGAGCAGGTTGTTAAGCTATGGAAATAAAATAAAACACTCCATCATTTTTATGACCTAAAAGAGCCGCAGTCAGGCATGATGGTGCACACCTGTAATTCCAGCACTTGAGAGGCTGAGGCAGAAAGAGAACTGTGAGTTAGAGGTTGGCCTGGGATATATAGTGAATCTTTCTTCTTTTCAATTCACCTTCCTCTCCCCAGCACTGGAGATCAAACTCAGGACCTTGTGCTTGTCAGGCAGGTGTGGTGCCACTGGAGCTACATCCCCGGCCTACATAGGGAATTCAAGGCCAGTCTGAAGTATATAGCAAAACCCTATCTCAAAAAGCAAAACAAAAATGAAAATAAAAGGGTCCCACATATTTCTGAAAATTTCACTCTCACCCACCACCACCTCCACAGGGTCAGTACCATCCCATTTGAGAACCACTGGATCCAGAAGTTATCTATAAATACAAAGAGAATCAACTAAAGCAACTACATAATCTAAAGCAGTGTATTGCTTTAATATTCTATTTTTTCCTTTGTTTTTTTTTTTTGGTACTGGGGATACAACTCAGGACCTTGTGGTTGTGAGGCAGGCAGCAGAACCACTGAGCTAAATCCCTGGCCCAATATTCGTATTTTTTTTCACAGAAATTGGAATTTAACAATCACCTTCACAAACACTGCATTGGCTGACCTTAAAGACCATCTTGGCCTTCCTTTTTAGAACTTGGGCAACCTGTTCTTCTTGGCAAACTTCACTAAGTGTCAGAACTATGTGTGATGTCTGGATGTTATCAAGGTTTCCAGCCTTCTGATTGCTACCCACACAGCAGGCTCTGGATGGCCCTGATTCATTGTGACCATGGGCTTTGGGTCCCTGCCCTGGTTCCCCTGGCCAGCTGTTTGTTCTGAAAGACAACAAGTCCCACAGCTGTTTTGTCTGCTGTCTGCCACTTTAGTTATTTCACTCCAGGTAATGGGAGGCCCATCCTCGTGCCCAGATGACCTGTAGCCATCACATAATATTATGGTACACTGCTTTCCCTGTCATGCCCAGTGCACTCAAACTAGGCTTATTGGAATAATAACGCCTATCCTGAGAGCTTACTGTAGGCCAGACACTGTTCTAAGCAATTTAGTCTTGGTGAAAGTTCTCTGAAGTAGGTACTACTATCATTCCCATTTCATACATCAGGAAATTGAGGCACAGAAAGGTGATATAACTACAAGCTGATTAACAGTCAACTCACTGAAAGCCAACTCATACCAAGAGGAAGAAAGAAGAGGCTGAGGGCAACAGAGGAGAGGGTTACAAAGACTGGTGAGGCAGAGAGGGGTGTACTAAGAGAAGTAGAAACAGGAGCAGAGAAGATGGAGATTGAGCAAGTATGATTCAGATTCCTAGTGTCTCACCACCTTTTTAGGCCTGTAACCCATCTAACACAAATTGCTGCACATGTATAAAAAGCTAAGAGACACGTTTTTGGTAAGCTAATAAATTCAGCTCATTGATCATTCTGGAATGTCAATGACTCCCTTCAAAGAGTGGTGGATGCCTGTAATCCTAGTACTTGGGAGGCTGAGGCAAGAGAGTCTCAAGTTCTAGTCCTGCCTGGGCAACTCAGTGACCCTGATATCGAAATAAACAAAAAGAGCTAGGGATGTAGCACAGTGTGAATGCCCTGAGTTCAGGACCCAGTAACACACACAGAGTTGAAGTTCAAACCCATGCTACAGGGTTCCAGAAACAGTGCTTAATTTCTGGGGCATAGGAAAGGCGACAAAGGGAGGTAGAAAAGAACCAAGAGACAAATTTTTTCAATATTGCGCAGGCACTTTCATTTCTCATTTCTACTCTTTTCATTCCCAGATACCTTTTGGGACATGCCCATTAAAATATATTTCCTGAAAGAAGAGCAAGGCCAGGGATTTAGCTTGTGGTTCTGCCTCCTGCCTCGCAAGAGCAAGGTCCCGAGTTTGATCCCCAGTACCAAAACAAAACAACAACAACAAAAACCCCAAAATGAAAGAAGAGCATGTCTTCCCACAAAGAACAGAGAATTCTTGATTGATTTAAAATAACAATTGCCCAGTCCGAACACCCCTTTTCATATTGGGCCTTAGGAATAGTGTAAACCAGAGGCAGTCAACTTTTTCTTTCTTTTTTTTTTAAATTC